AATCAGTTTCCTTGCTTTCACTCTTGCCACCTACAACTCATTCTCAACATAGCAGCCACAATGATCCTTTATGTCAGATCATGTCACTTGGGTGCCTAGGACCCTCCAATCGCTCCCATCTCACCCACAATTCACAAAAAATCCAGGGGCCTATAAGGCCTAATATGATCTACCACCAATCCACTCCCACCTCCACATCTCTTGCTATGTTTCTCCTCTCCACCCTACTGCAGCCATACTGACTGGTGTCCTCATGTTTCTTGACTATACGAGGCATACTCCTGACTCAGGGTTTTTGCACTTGCTGTTCCCTCTGACTGGAATATAATTCCCTCAGATAAATGTTTGGCTCACCTCAACTTCTTCGGGTCTTTGCTCAAATGTTGCCTTTTCAATAAGACCTTCCTTGACCACCCTACTTAAAACTTAATATCCTGGTTCCTGGTACTTTTTATCTTCCTTCTCTGTTTAATTTTCCCAATATATATTTTACTTGTTTATGGTATGTTTCTGCCTCATCCCAACAGGTGAGCTCCTCAAGTCCTGGAACTCTGTTTTATTCACTGCTCTATCCCCAGGTATGAGAAAAGTACCTGGCCTCCAGCAGATATTCACCAAACATTAGTGGAATGACCGAATGAGTGAATGAATGAATGAACCTCCATACTTTTAGAATCTCCCAGTAATCTGAAGGGTTTAGGCCAGAAGGGGAAGACCCTAGTTGAGCTCTGATCTCTCCCTCACTTCCCCCACTATCTCTCCCTCTTCTCAGGCCCAGTCCAGCCCATTAACATAAGAAACCACACCTGGGCTGGGAAGCAAGGCAGGACCAAGGCCACAGGTGCTTGTTGCCAAGATGATACATTTCTGCAGTGTGCTAATTTTTGAATTTAGCATCATGATATCTCACAAACAGAAGAGGTCAAAAATAGGTTGGGACTAAATATACTACTTAACCAAGATAATAGTACTGACTCAGTAACAACAGCTCGTTTGTTTTGATGTATTTTGCAAGGAACAGTGCTAAATTTGCACTTGTTCACCTAGCTGTCCTCTTTTTTCTCCAATTTTTTATTATGGATTTCAAACATACATAAAGGTAGAAGGAATAGTGTAATGAACTCCACGAACCCATTACCCAACTTCAACAATTACCAACATTTTGCCACTTTGATTTCTTCTCTTCTCTGATTGTCTCTGCAACCTCTGCTAAATATTTCATCTAGCTGTTTTCTTGAGAACTGGTCTACATATGACAGACCCTGGCCTTGTTACCACTGTATACTAGCCACTATGTCAACCAGTCTCTCTAGTCTAACCAGAAACACAGTAAAAAGAAGCACTTACACCCATTCCCCCACCCAAGCTATGACTAAAAAAGGAAGTGTCTAAATTCCAGAATGTTTAAATGAAGGGACTTGCCCATTATCACGTTTGGAGGGATTTGGGGAGAAGGGTTGTTGTAGCTACAAAGTAGATATAGACACTAGCTGTTTTCACTTGTTTGTACCTGATGCAGAATTTCTGAATGAGTTCATTCAATCCAGTAAGTATTCACTGACTACCTGCTAAATATGTGGGACAGGATTAAGATAACAAAAGATAAAGAAAACCCAGCTTCTGTTCTCAAGGAAACCACAGTGGGGGTGGAGGGTGGGTGTTGGGTGAGAAGAGTACCCAAATAACTAAGATCCAAGGCAGAATATGTTCTATAGTCTAAGAGACATTAAACAAATCTAAGGCGAAAGCTCCTTTTAAAGAAATCAACCCACAAAATTTGCAGACCCCAAGATTTATGCCTTCCTTAACTCTAAATCTGCCCTCTGCTGAATTTACTGCTATACAGCCAATAAGTATATTATTGGGAATTTGGGAATTCCCAATAATTCCCCAATTTGGGAATTCGGTGACCCACAGAATAGACTTTTGGAAGTGGATCTTTAATGTCACATTTTGCTACTCACCATCCAGTCCTCTGGTGGGAGGGGACTGGAAAGTCCTCCCAGCGCTTGGAAAACAATGGGGCTAACTGGTGTTGACACTCAAAGCATTCTACCCTGAGGGCATATACAGCAAGCAGCTTCATAAACCGGATAGAAGAGTGGAAGTGTGTCAAGAAGACTTGGCTACATTTATTCAGAAGGATTTCCAAGATCTCTCTTCTTGCTACCTAAAGGACTGTGATCTTGGTGATCTATTATCAGAGGTTCCCAGAGAAAAGTGTAGTTCTCTGGACAAAGCAGGGAAGTGTGGTTGGCCATGCTGTGTGTGAAGGAGAGAGTGGCAGGGAGAGTGGAAGAAGGGGCAGAGCTGGGATGGGAGAAAGGTTTACACCATAATCAATGCTACCAAGATTGGTGAGGTGAGGATGCAGGTGAGGATGAGGTGAGGTGAGGGAGAAAAATAAGAGTAGGGAAGGAAAAAGGCACTGTGAGAAGGGATAGGGCACAGGAAGGGGGATAAGGTAAAAGATGATTCTGGTTTGAAAAGATCACTGATGAAAATGAGAAAGATGCTATGAGATCCCAGAATCTAAGAGGCAGGATCTCACAAGCTATTGAAAAGGGTATGAAGAGGAGGGATCTTAGCATGGGAGGGTGTATAGATTTTGAAGGATGGGCTCACATTGGGATGGAAGGGGCTCATTTCACTGAAGCTGGGTGAAGCACTCACTAGATGAAGGGCTAACTTAGATGAAGGTTTTGAGTAACAGGATGTGGCTGAGGATGGTAGAAGGGAAGCAGCTGTAACACTCCAAGAGATTTCCAATCTCTTATGTATATGAATTCCTGGGGGTAAAGGATTTAACAGGATGAGAGGATTTGGGATAGAGTGCCACTGAGGTGGGAGACACCTTAGGGTAAGTTTAGGGTAAGTGGGAGCTCCAAGGACTCACAGGGTGAGAGGATATTTGGACAAAGGGTAAAGAGAGTTATTAAGGTGCAGGGGTCTCAGGACACGTGGGGTCAAAAGTCATGAACAATGGGTTGAGGAAGTCACCAAACCATGGGGCAAAGGTTAAGAGAAACCTTAGAAGTGATGGGGAAAGCGTTGGTGTTGGTCTTAGAAATTATTAGAAAATAAGGAACAAGGGGCTGAGAGTGACCTGGAAAACTAGGTAGGTTTAGGGGCAAGAAAAGCAATGGATCAAATGAGTTTTGAAGACTGTGGGTTCAAATCCCAGCTCTGCTACTCATCCGGGTGAGTTTCAGGTTCTTCATTTGTTTAAAACCAAACCAAAACAAACAAAATATGGGAAATAGTGGTAGATATATTGGGGTTGTGAGGGGAAACAGTTTACACATACAAAGCTTGGTGCACAGTAGGCGCTCAGCCGTAAGTGCCAATCATCATTAAGGAGATAGCAGGGTAAAAACCCAGAGAAGTGAGGAGGCCACAGCAGAGATAAGAGGACAGTGATTCCAAGAGCTCGGGGGGGGGGGTACCAAAATAATGCAAAGTGTGGCCCCTGTGTTCATTATCTGTTGACTCCCTAGCACCCAGGACACAGTAAGACCCGCAAGAGCTTCTCGGCTTATACTTAAGGGCTCCCATGGGCTAGGCCTGGTACCAAATGCTTTGAATGCATTATCTCAAGCACTACTATTATCCTACCCTAGGAGAAGTGAAGACTGAGGCTAAATGGTGTGCCTAAGGTGCCATACTTTACAGGCCAGAGTCAAACTAGAACCCAGATCTCTTATCACATCAATACCCCAAGCTGAAGCACTTTTATCCTGCTTTGCAAACATGTTAACTGATGAGGCCTGATCAAGGGAAATGGGTATGGACTATTAAGAGTGTAGGGGGGTTGCAGGAGTGAGGGAATAAGGTTCAAGAAGCAAGTGGACCCTGGGCTGAGATTACAACAGCAAACTTCTAGTTAGGAGTACAGAGTATAAAAATGATTGCAAACAAATATTATCTTGACTGAGAATTGCAGAACGTCACAGCTGGAAGGAAACTCTGAGATCATTTAACCCAACCTTATCATAATACAGATGAGAAACTGAGGTCCAGAGCGAGGAAAGGACTTTTTCCAGGTTCCCAAAGCACAATGGTGGCAGAGCTAGGACTTGAATCTGGGACCACACACTCAATCCAGATTCTCTGATGACTCCAACTATATCTACTTCATATTCATCTCTATATCTTCCTGAGCACCAGCTCGGTGCTAGGGCACTTGTAAGTCATGTGCTGATTAACACTGGGGGGCTGGAGTGCAGAGAGGGATGTCCGTGGAGGTGATTTTAGGATGAAGGGGGCACATGGAATGAGGATCATGAAGTTACAGGGCAAAGAAGGAATTATCAGATACTGAGGGTTATGTAGAAGATAACTGGGTGGGAAACTATTTTAGTAGGTATGGCTTAGGAGTTACCAGGAAAGGTTTGGGGGGAGTCACCAAGTTTGTGGGGGAACACGGGGTAGAAGTGGAGGGGGTTACCAGACCAGTGGGGTCACTGACGTTTTGGGGGATGTAGGGATCTCGGGTCGTGAGTCACTGGTTTAGAGCTGAGGGTGGTGGGTCCCTGGGCAGTGCTGGGGAAATTCCTGGGTTGGCAGAGTCAATGAATAAGAAGTGAGGATTACCTGGTGAGGTCTTAGGGTCAGTGGGTGGGGTGTGGGGGTCACAGAGGTTGAGGCGGGCGCAGTCACGGGGTGGGGTTTGGAAGTCATGGGGGAGGAGTCACAGGACGGAATGGAGGGGCAGGGATGGGGGCCAGAACACGGGGTGGGGGAGGATCAGGCCGCCGTCCAGCCTCCCGGCCACCGGGCTAGGGCCGGAGAAGGGTGGGCACGCCGGGCTCGGGACCTTCCCAGGGCCCTGCGCCCGCCCGGCCTCCCACCTGGGCACGGTGGACCCACTCCCCGCAGCCACCAACCTGACAGCCCCCGAGGGCGACTCCGCCGACAGACCGCCATGCAACGGGCCCCGCCACCAGCGCCGGCCCCGCAACCCGCCTGCGCCATAGCCCGCCCGCCCGCGCGCAGCTTGCCTCGCACCATATCCAGGTTCCAGGGCCGCCGCACTTTCCTCTCCTCTCGGCGCGCCTCTACCGGGCCCCGGAACCCGTATAGAAAATATAGGGCACGCTCCACCCCGCACCCCCAGTCGCCGCGGCCGCCGTCCTACTTATCCCGGTTCCCGGGCCGCTGGAGCCCGGGCAGCCTGGCTCTGAACGGTGCCGGTGAGAGCCCCGCCCCGCCCCCCGGCCGGGGTGACGCGCAGCCCGCAAGGCCAAGCGCCCGGGGAGGGCGTGATGACGTCACGACGCCCCGGTCAGGGACTGGGCGCGGCTCGCGAGCCGGGTCGTCTCTATAGCAATGAGGAGCCGCCACCTGTCCTTCCGAGGGATTCGGTCCACCTGAGGCGGGAGGCGGGAGGAGCCCGAGGCCCCGAGGCTCGTCGGCCGCCTGCGGGTGAGAAGGTGCGCTTTTGGATGGGGGGAGGACCGGAGGGGCAGATTGTGAGGGAGGCCGTTCTCGCGGCTGCCACTCTCCGCACCGGGGCCACGGACCCTCTCCTCGCGGCTCAGAGCCCCCAGGCGCCTCCTGCGCCTTACGGTCCCGAGGCGCTTTACTGTGCGCAGTCCGCTGGCACTGCCTACGATCTATGAGCCACGCGGGTATTATTAGCTCCTTATTGAAAAAGACGACGTGAGGAGCCGTGAGGGACTGGCCTCTTTAGGGAGGGCGCCCTGAGGGTGTTCTTCGGTTCTCTCATTCCCCCGCCAGCCCCACCTGCAGCCTCAAAACCAGCTGCTCCCCCTTGTAGGCTCCTTTCGGGGTGAACAAAGCCAAGCCCTTTTACTGTTTCCCCCTCTCACTAGGGAGGGGCTGTGCTTGGGGAATTTTCAGGCACCTAGGGGAAAAGTAAAAGAGTGAGCTTTTGGTAAAAAATTAAAAATAGAGACGTTAGATGAGGAACTGGTAAACGTTGCCTCTTAGGAGAGGAATTGGGGTGACTGGAGGAATGAGGTGAGAAACTTTTCTCCCTCTCTGCCCTTTTAGACTTTAAGTCCTTTCTTTTGTCTCCTCTCTCCCCACCCCCCAAAATTAACTAAAAAAAATTTTTAAAGGAAGTATGCCAATAAACTGGAAACATTTACAAAGTACTGTGTTTGGGGCCCATGGTAGCTAGAGATGCCATTGGTGGTTCCTTTCCTCCCTTGTCTAAAGAGCTTAACCACAAAGCCTCCATTTCAATTTTAGACATTCTCTGTTCCGCATCTTACTGCTTTTGGCACAATTCCAGAGGTGGGACTGGGGCTCCAATTCTCATCAGGTTCTCAGTTTAGGGGGGCAGTGACAATTGTTGGCCCATTCTTTTTCTCTTTTTTTTGGCCGCGCTGCAGGGTATGGGGGATCCAAGTTCCCTGACCAGGGATCGAACCTGCGCCCCCTGCAGTGGAAGTGCAGAGTTTTAGGCACTTGACCGCCGGGGAAGTTCCGATGGCCCATTCTTATGGTTATATATAATTAATCCTTTCTACATCTCCAGGTATAGAAATAAACAGCCTGACCTTTAAGGTGCCCTCTTTCTGTTCCTTTTTGGTGGAAGTTTGACAAGTTATTTTACCTAGATACAAAGAGAACATAGTAGCTTGTCCTGCAGCATAAACTTCTGGTTAGACATAGAGCAGGGACTAGAACTCAGGTTGTACTAGTTTGCCCGTCCCCCCCCCCCCACCTTTTTCCATAATAAAAAATACATCTGTCCTTCCTCACATTCCTTGCAGATCCTAATTTGATTGGCTAATCACCTCTCCCATTACACAACAAAAACTCTGGGAAACTAGTGTCTGAATTTGAAGTATTAAGATTCTGATGATGGGTAATTTCAGGTACTCGGGAGAACTGGGGAGGAAGATACTTTGGAGTGGAGGATTGAAGATCATTTCTAGTAACTTCTGTTCTTCCTTTGAACCCCATCCCCACAATATAATGTATAGGCTGGTGGTCTTAAGACATTTTAAAAAATGGACTCCATATAAGAATTTTAAAGAACTATGTACCCCCTTGTTCATTTCTAAGTTGATACCTAAATTTTCCATCATAAATTTAAATACTTGTAGAGGATATAATTTCTGACTTACTGCAAATGTTGACGTTTTAAACTAAAACCATTACATCATTCTTAATTGTATCTAGTGGACTCCAAATACCCTAAATATTTGATGTCTGCCAACATCCATTTAAAAATATATGAACAAGAAATTTTATATGGTTCCCTTTCTTATTGAATTCCTAATTCCATTCACTGCCCCTATAGAACTTTATCCTAATTAGTATATTTGTATGCTTTAAAGTCTTTTACTGATCACTATCACCTTCTTTGCAACAAAATTGAGTATATATTTAAGCTTCTTGCTTGTGACCATAGGCTTTGTTGAAAATTTTCTTATGAATCAAATTGTCATTACGGTTATCACTAGTACAACGATTTATTAAGCAACATCACTATATTACACATTTTTATAACTTGTGAAACCTAAAAAGTACAATTTTATTGAAAATGCATCTCAATGAGAAATATGGTGTTTCTCCTCAATTAGTTCAGGTATTCACAGACTAATATTACCTAATGGTGGAAGGAGATAAGGTGCCACACCAATTCTCTACCTGTTTTTGATTTTTATAGACATAAGCGTTGAGAAACGTTGTTTACATAGTAATTGGGAAAGGAAGAAATTTGTTAAAATGATATCCCTCAAGTCTTTGAACTACTTCTAAATTACATGCCAACAGTCACAAAGTGTCCTATTACCAAATACTGTTATCAAGTACTATCAAATAGAGTCCTCCTTTACTTTATTAAAAGCAAAGAATTGGAAACCACTGATCTTGCAAAAGGATTTGTTAGTCATTTGAGTATGTTTCAGTCTTATGAAAATAATTATTAAATTATCTGTCACCTTTTCACTCAGAGGCACCTAGTTAATCAGATAGCTGATTTTCGTACTTCTTTGCCAACACAATTTTTTTGATAAAATTCTTTCATCATTACATGTTTTCAGTATCTTTCTGTTAAAATATTGACATGCAGATTCACTTCCATATAGAAAACACCTGCCATTTGTGGAATTAGCAAAGCCAGTCTTCATTTCACATCAGACTTACTTTCTGTCAGGAAAAAGTCTGACTTTATTCTTCAATTTAAATAAGTACATTAAGGGACTTCCCTGATGGTGCAGTGGTTAAGAATCTGCCTGCCAGTGCAGGGGACATAGGTTCAAGTCCTGGTCCGTGGAAGATCCCACATGCCACAGAGCAACTAAGCCTGCATGCTACTGAGCCTGCGCGCCTAGAGCCTGTGCTCGGCAACAAGAGAAACCACCGCAATGAGAAGTCCGTGCACCGCAATGAAGAGTAGCCCCCACTCGCCGCAGCTAGAAAAAGCCCATGTGCAGCAACGAAATGAAGAGTAGCCCCCACTAGCCGCAGCTAGAGAAAGCCCACGTGCAGCAACGAAGACCCAATGCAGCCAAAAATAAATAAATAAAATGAATTTATTAAAAAAATATATATTAATATTCACTTTTAAAGAATATTGTAAAATCACTGGGAAATAAATTAACTGTAGCTTATAAAATAGATTACTAAAGTCAGTCATGATTAAAATTATATAGATCTAATATTAATATAAAAATTGTAAAAACAAGATGGTACTATTTCTCATTGTATAATTTGGAATAATGCCATATAATGTATAGCTGAATACATTAATTTATTAAGTGAAAGGTAGGGTAGAAGGCATGTTAGTCCCTTGGCAAATACCGGTTTCTGCTTGTGTTGAACTCTTATGTTTGGCTTTTGGGAACAACTAAATAACAATCGTGTAACAAAAAAAGAGAAAGAACTCCAATAATTTTCTTAGACTTCATGATCAAACTTTTTCTTATGTATTTAATAAAAAAGAAAGTTTTTTTGTTAGGAAATAATGGTTTGAGCAGCTAACAATTTCATTTTTTGCTAGCAGGAGGTAGAAAATAGGAAACATTTTATAAGATGAAACAAGAAGATTGATTGTAATGGGAATATTTTGTTATGAAGGGAAAAAACGACCCCTTCCTTCTACTCCCCAGGTTTTTACACCCTAGGCCATGCATCAAGATTCAATGTAGGTGAGGGATATGCCTTTCTTTTGTAAAGTAGGACAAGGATTATGGTGATAGAGGAGGTAGAATGGAGAGTGCATGAATATGTGGCTGGCTCTCAAACAGATGAGTTTTAGGGAAGAATTCTTATGGAAGTTGAGGATCTGGAAATGTATTCCCTTAAAACTCTCCTCAGGACTTCCCTGGTGGCGCAGTGGTTAAGAATCCGCCTGCCAATGCAGGGGACACGGGTTCAAGCCCTGGTCTGGGAAGACCCCACATGCTGCAGAACAGCTAAGCCCCTGTGCCACAACTATTGAGCCTGCGTTCTAGAGCCCGTGAGCCACAGCTACTGAGCCCATGTGCCACAACTACTGAAGCCTGCGCGCCTAGAGCCCGTGCTCCACAACAAGAGAAGCCACCGCAATGAGAAGCCTGCGCACTGCAATGAAGAGTAGCCCCCGCTTGCCGCAACTAGAGAAAACCTGTGTGCAGCAAGGAAGACCCAATGCAGCCAAAAATAAATAAATAAAATAAATTTTTTTTTAACTTAAAAAAAAAAACTCTCCTCAGATTGATTTCCTTGCACAGGTACCCCCCTTGGAAAGTCTTCACATACCTTTAGGAAGAATTCCTTGGAAAGTCTTCATGTACCTCACTTTAAAGACTGCTTGATATAGACAGACCCATACTCCACTGGCCCTGACTCTACATTATTCTGGGACATAATTGCAAGTGTCCTAGAAAGAAGGAGGAAGACTTGGTGTTTTTGGAATAGAAGAGGGTTAGGAGAGAAGTCAGAGAAGATGGCCCCAAGTTGGTATAGTCTCTCACCGTGGTCCTGGATATGGTCCTCAGCTTTGCAGTTCTAGAAATGTGATTTTTGTCAGTCCACACAAAGGTGTTCATATTTTGTCACACTGAATCAAACTCACAGGAAGTTAATGTATGAAATAGAATGCCAGTGAATTAATTTATACTCATAATCACCAAGTTGACTGGATTCCCTCTCCTGCTGGGAGATCTATGTAGAAAGGTCAGTTGTAATCAGTCTTACATGAGGAGTGCGGATCTTGAGCATGGCTATTGCTATCAAGCTGTGATGGCCTGATGCGCGATGCCT